CTGGATAGCCCCAACTATTCCAAAGGATGCTTTAGACACGACCAGCTGCCGCTGCTGTTGTTGCGCGCTGTAACTGCAACTACCCGCCTACAGAGAAACAACACCTACAGTAGCATGAGGATACTACAACTATCACCTGCACTAGCATGCAGATACTGCGTATGCTTTTCTGAGCTAGTGCTGTTACGTCTACCCGCGTACGGAGAAGCATCACCTACACTTGCATGCCGATACTGCGCATCCTTCTCTGGCTATCTGCTGAGCTGCAGAGGGAAACAATGTTGTGCTGATAGAAAACAGTCACTTCCGAACAAAACACGCGCAACTAAAACTGAAGCCTTAAGGAGTTCGGCCACGAGAGCTCAAGACAGTGAACCGCTCAGGGTTCAACGAGATTCAAAGTGGGCGCTGAAGAGACAAGCGCCTCTCTCCTATCCTTGAAGGACAGCAGAAGGACGCTTGCTAACTAGAAGTGGAGCCTCTCGAGTGCTTTGCCCGCCTCCTCTGCAAATTGGTTTTCTGCGTTTCGTGTCTCCTGCTGCGCTGTAGCTGCCTCCAAGTTGGAATCAACATTCATGTTGGAAGTGGCTTCATTGTCGCAGCGGGGTCTAGGTGCGCCTGCGCCTGGCGTTGCTGGGGATGCGAGCCGAGGCATGATACGACCGACGCGGAGGTGACGAGGACCGTTAATGTGTCCTTTGCAGGAAGTGTTGATGGGAAATATCTGTTGGAGGAGAGGCAGAGAAGGAAGCGAGACGCTTCCTGACTGAACGGAAGGCCGGGGCACTGTGCCGGAGGAAACCGAGTCGAGCAAGTTTTTGGCCACATCCATGCAAAGGTTCAATCTCTCTTCCATGGTGAGGTGGCAGCTGACACGCGCAAGGTGCTCGTCTTGATTAGTAGTCCGCCGCTTTGTGCGGCGCCTGCGCAAAAGGCCGGTGCAGCATCGGGGCGTGGAGTGGAGTGAGTAGTAAAGAGAAGACGTAGAGTTGTTTGACACTGCAATGTCCGTGGGAGGAACTGGGCTGGCTAGCGGTGCGACCGGGGTCAAACTCGTCGGCCTGAAAAGACAAAAGGAAACGGAAGCAGACCCTTCGAGCTCAGCGCCACACAACGTAGAGGTCGTCATAGGAGAAGAAGCGGAGACTCAAGGTTTGCCGTGCCCCCAGCAGTGGGCTTGGCTCTAGTCGCCACAAGTACGCAGTAGGGGGCATTCTAGTGGGCAGACTCCGCATACACAAGAAATCACCACGGATAGCGTGCTACATCTGCACTTGACTGCGGGAGAGAAAGCGAGGTCGAGAATCTGTAGGATGAGCGTCCGGGCTGCGCTGGAAAGGAGAGACTTACGCATTGAGGTCAGCCACAGCAGGCACTTCAGCCCTCGGGTCTGGGAGAGATGCGCCGTAGTTGTCGGCCATTTTCTTGTCGGTCTTCTGGTTGCTCGTCTGGCAATTAGTGATTGGCTTTAAAAAGCAAAAAAAGGAAAGTTGGAGTGAGCAGACAGCTGCTGCCTTCCGTTGCTTCTCACTATGACCTGCAGTGTGAGTGTTAACGCTTCGAGAGAGGCCCTTGGAATGAATGGCGGTGCTCGCCAAAACAAACGGAGAGCAGGCGTAGCCACAATGTCAGCACACCAAGTACGTCGAAACAGGTGTAATTTCGTTCTAATACACAATACAAGCTTTTTAGAGAATTGCGGGCTTATAGAAATGAGTGACTGCGCTATCGAACCAGCCAGCCAAGAGGCGGTCGTCCTGCGGCCTGGGTCACTTGCCCGCCAAGCGTGGCCCTCGCCTGTCCTCGTGGCTTGCGTCCCTCCTCGCTTCCCTTCCATCCTTTGAGTGCTTGATCATGCAATTAAAGACTTTTGAACCTAATTCGTTTAGTCTGCTAGTGCAACGAAACCAATAATTCATTCATTCAAGGAAGTGTCGTGCGACCACCCGTGACAGAGCTCGAGACAACGCAACGTGCGCTAGTCGGCAGGCAGGCCTGCCTCCATGTGCTCGACGAGCAGTTGAAGTTTGTTTATTTGTCAATTCAGCCTACATTGTACACAGAGATCTGCTGAACATTCT